TTTCCTAAGCATTGCACGTAAACACCACAACAAAGCTATTGTAGGCAACTTAAAGGAAATATAACAATTTCTCCAGACACAGAAATGTGGCCCAATATGCAGGTGTTGGTATTTGGAAAGAGAACTCAGTCTTTTAGAAAACTAAGCTACCTAAATCCATCTTTTATAGCCCCTTTCGTCCCTCAACCAAGCCAAGAGATTACACGCAATCTGAAATAAAGGCAGACTTCACTCCCTTCCCAGAGACATGTACGTGGGCAAGTAAGCTTTAACGTCACGTCAAACTGATGTTTGAATAATCCTGCTGACTTCTGTTAGCAATACCCACCCTCGACTGAAGTCAATACTCGATCAAGATCCTTTACTCTGAACTAGTCAGAAACGTTCTTGGTTTTGCATTTGACTGTGAAATGGGTCAGCCTCACCGAGATGCTCCCGTGTGCCGTATCAAACGCCGCGGCATTTTGTTTTCTTCTGCAGATTTAACAAGAATTTTACATCATGGAAACACTGATCAAGAAACTCTGCTTTCAGTGCTGGAACAAAGTAACGCATCAGCGAGGCCAGTGCTGCAAACTCAGCCCGTCTGCAGCCTCCCATCCCAGCTCCAGTTCCTAACGCACCTACTAGCTGTGTCCAGGCAGGATGACAGTCATTGCATTTACGCATTAACACTTGTGATTCCCTTCTCCTTACCATGGTTGTGTCGACTCGTTCTTCCCCGATAACCAATTCACAAGCCCTCAGAAATCTCTGCAAGTTCCAAAAGTGAGAATATTCCCGACAAGCCCTGTCTGACACCGCTCAGAACCAACAGGTACTACAAGTAATACTCTATTGTCCTGAATTCCCCCAAAAGAGAAACAGCACTGGTAGAGACACACACACGAGGAGGGTCAGTCCTGACTGCAGTCATCACTCTCTTTACCGAAGCAGACCCGAACCACAACAGAAATTTTTAGTTTGCTGATAGCAGAAGTGCTGATCTCGCAGGCTTGTGGGCAAGGGGTCCTGCTGGAGCGCAAGGCCTCCAGCGGGAGGTTGCTAAAACACTGTCCCAGGTGCAGAGCTGGAATTCCCAAAAGCAGAGAAGCCTCGGCTCGACATTCACAGCCCACCCCAGCTATCTGCTAAAATACACTTCTACCTTCCCTTTTTATAGGAAAACCTATAAAATGTTCACGGCTCACATTACGGTTTACATCTCCAACCCTGCCTCTTCAACGTAAACCTGTCAAGAGGTCTTCAAAGTCTCTTTCAGCTTTCAATGCTGCCTGTTAAAAGCGTATGAGCAGACCCCGAGAGAGGGAGCAGGATTATTGCCCCCTCCCTGCTCACCGGTTCTCATTGCCCCCTCCCCGCTCACCGGTTCTGCTCGGTGCTGCTGGAGATGCAGCCTGCACAGAGCCATCACCAGCGAGATGGCCGGTCGCGTGTCCGGAGAGCACACCTAATCACCTAATAACGAATCTCTGGATTTCTGAAAAGAACAAAATTATTATTCTTGGAAACAATGCATGTTTCTGCCTTCCTAGATTAACATCTAGTTAGGAAACCAAATATATTTACAGAGCGCTTTTCAAAATCACTTTACCATACTGTGCCTTCGTGAGTCATTTCCCTTATCGGGGGGTAAGGGCTTTTGTAATCCAGGGTGCAAATTAACACAAGAGCCAACTGAAAATACGCAGGAAATTAGGAATTCCTGAAACCAGAACTGGCTACACTGAGGGCTACAAGAGCACTAAAAAGGACCACAGGCTTCTGCACCCTCCAGTTTTTGTCTCTCACCAACTCTGTACTACCTGCTGGGCAGACACTGCATTTTAAACATCTATTTTTCTTAAGTGAAGAACAGCACCAAACGCCACTGCGCCGCCAGACACTGGATTTCACCCAGTCCCCACTGCAGTTACAGGATATGCTCTTTGTTAGACTGCTTTCTTAATCCTACTTTAAGTTACTATCTACTGCAGGCTCAGCATTCTTCGTCAGTATATTAAAGAGCTGCTCTTCAAGGACGCTGCCTCTGTTTTACAGCTGTACTGTCACTACGCATATAACAGTTTGCTCTTGCAACGTTTTTTCTTGTCTGCCCGACGGACAAGCTTCTTGTTTGCTCACAAACGGGCACCTGGGGACTGAAGCAGCAAAGGGAGCATCCTCGGCGTACTGAAAAAACCCCCGCGGCACTACCGACAGGGAGTAATGCAACGCAAAACCTTACACAGAAAACAAGAGCGTTTCCCTATCAAAAGACTCCGACTTCTTAATTTTTGCTACTAAAACTTAATTAGCCTCATAGCCCATCTGGCAATTTGCAAACCATTACCCAGCATTCTTTGGACCTTGAAATATTTAATATAATGAGGCCCTAATAGGGACAAATCCTTTCACAGAAACCATTTAACTCCAGGAAAATAATGCCACTTAGTTTGAAATATTCTTTGTTAGCGACTGAAAGTGGCAGTTAATAAACAAATTGTTATGTAAAAAAGAAAAGGAACGGACAGGCTGCCGTGCCAGGAGCCAAGCATCCCGGTCCTTTCAGTACTCGCTGCACTAGCCAGCTTCAGTGTTTACAACAACTTTAATAATTCATTTGAGAACATCAAAATCACTACTAAAAACAAATTAACTACTTGTTCCTCATTTGGACTGTATCTGAAGGTTTTACTCCCACATCAGAAGCTGAAGGCAAGTAACATCACAGAGGAAGAGATCCTTAATCATTAAATTTCCATACTGGGCCAACTGTATTAGCTTGAAGTTCCCAGGACTTGGATGAAAGGATTTAAAGCCAGTCTTGGCATGGGTGCCAGAGTCAACTTCCTAGTAAAAGGGATAAGCAGCAAAATGGAAATCAGCCAGGGTTTGCAGGAAATCTTTGTTAAATTGAACTTCTAAAATTGAGAGGAATGACTGAGGCGAGCGTCCCACCTCCCGAAACCAGCAGAAGCTGATTTCCTACACTGGGAGCGGTTACCCAGCACTGGATGGGGAAGAAAAACATCCAGCCGTGATCCAGCAACTCCCACCACGTACACCGTAAAATCACATTATGAGACATGTACAAGGAGCCTTTGCCTTCATCTTATAAATGACAAAATTCTGCGTCAGTTTGCAGCTAAGTGTTGCTATTTACTGCAAATAAGCACAGTCATTAAAAATTCCTGCTTCCGAGCCTCCAGCTCCTACCTCTGTGGGGACAAGTGGAAAGTTGATTTCCTTCGTTATTAAACTCTGTGCTGAGAGGGGTCTATCATCACACTTGTCAGGCAGGGCCAGTCAGAGTAAAGGCGTTTTTATCTGCTAATTGCTGGAGGGAGAGCAGCCCGCTGATACCACAAAGGTCAAAGATCCATCAGCAGAGGATCCCAAGCAGGGATCGATGGGGTACTATTTAATTTAAATTCATTGTACCATCTCCAGAGCATCCCAGAAGTTGAATCACACCGCCCCAGCGTGCAGGGGATGCCGAAACCTCGCACAGAGCTGAACACGCCTGCCTGCAGCGCAGCGGTCCCAGTGGCCGAGGGTCCACCGAAGGGCTGGGACCGGCTGGGTGGGACACCGGGGGGGGCCAGAGCCCCCCAGGAAGGGCCGCGGCGGGAGCTGTCCCTAGTCCTGCATGGCTGCGGGCGGCGCTGGAGCCCGGCGAGGGCGCCCGGGGCTTCTCGCCCCAAATCCTCCCCAGGAAGAGGGAAGGTGCCACGGACAGCGGTACGAACAGGCTACGGCAGAGGCAGAAGGGTGCGTGGCAAGACCATCGCCTGTCGCCGGCGGTTCCTCTACTGAAGGTGCATAAACCACAGTAAAATCCGGCTCTCTCGGGGAGCGTCAGCCTTGCCAGGCTAAGGGGAGACAAAGGGATAAGCTGCTTGCCATGGAGGCCAGGAGGTATGGCTGGATACTGCCACAGTATTCAAACTTTTAGGGGTGCTTGGAGATCCCACAGCATTCACAGGGACATTTATCCTGCTGGTCAGGTCGTATTTTAAAAGCGTAATTACATCCTGCCTTTAAGTACCCCTACCAACACTGCTCCGACGCGCGCTTCCTCGCCCCTCCATCCATGCCCTATCCAGTCTTCCCTTCTTTCTCCACGTACCCTCACCACTGTCGGATGGCCGCTGTGTCTTCTGAACCCGCTTCACCCGGCTCACAATACAGCTGTCAAGCACACGTCCTCCTGGACATCACCTCTCTGCACCGTTCCACAGTACCAAAGAGCTGCCCCCACTCCCTTTCCAAGGCAGGATATTACATTAGCCCAAATGACTTCTCCAAAGGTTTACATCCATTTTTAGAAATTCTTTATTTGCAAAACTCGGAGTCCACGCTCAAAAAGCATTTCTTTAAGCCAAGCAGGAAGAACCCTCCCACAGCACCAAGATTTTCTGTCTTTGCTGTTCATCAACCCGTACGAATTCTCAGATTTTTACACCACGCAGCTTTAAGTTTCTGGACACTGGGTTCTAACCACTGGTTAGTAAAAAAAAAAAAAAACCCTCAACATTAAGCATTACCATCTTGTCATCATTAGGTTTCAGAGCCAACAGCGTCAATGCAATTAAGTACAGCTCATTAACATCCTGCCTGCATGCTTAGAGAAAATATACTTCCAACAAGAGGTCTACACCTCCTTCATAGTCCAGAACACAGACTGCTCAGTGATTTCTTCAAAACACTAGTGAATTTCAGTTCCCATTTCTGGAGTAAACTGGAGAGTAAAGATTTAGGGGGCAGAGTAAATAACATTTTATATCAAAGTTATAGTGAAAACAACTGTAACACCTGAATTAAATGTGAAGATGAATGACCCTGACCCAACACAACCCTCGTTTCTTCCTTTTGTCCAACCTTCTACACACCCCCAAGACCGTTCCGCCGGGCTGCAGAACCCAGATCTGCTCTGCAGCTGACACGGGGTATCGGCAACAAGTAAAGGTTTGGCCAACACGTTTGTTAGAGCCCGCGGGTCCCACCCAGCAACTTACCAGGAAGCGGACATCATCAAAGCCGTTCAAAAGCAGCTTACTCTCATATTGCTGCAGGCCAATGGACTCCAGCCACTCCCCGACACTCTGCTCCAGCATCCGCGAACCTGACGAGAGAGGAATCGGCAGACGCTTGAAAAGGGAAAAACCGTTAAGGCGGTAGCAGCGGCACTCTGAGGAAGACAGATGGCATTGCCACATCATAGTCATTACCATAAAGAAACTCAAAAAATTATGCTCAGAGTACAACAAATCAGCTGGCAGACAATTCCTCTTGTGTGCACAGACCATGGACAACAAGCTTCCAGTGCCTCCGCGGGCTCCGGGTTTAATTTGTATCCCAGTTAACACTCAGAAAAAGAAACACCTTGCCCAGGCAAACTGTTTAGAAGCACTCCCAGGGCCATGACATCACATGCACTGCTTTCGGGGCTCAGGCGAGTTTCTTGCCAGGCAAACATATGAAGCCCAACCCAACGGGGATGCGGATCCACTCCTTGGCTCGTCTGAAGGGGGCGGGAGGAGGGCAGCAAACTTTCACCCAAGGCATTCCCAGCCAGTCGTAGGTGCGAGGGAATGGAGTGGAGCCGCTCACAAACGCACAGAGCTGTGCAGGTCCTCTCGTCCATGCAACTTCGGATGCACTACCCCGCTCAGCGGGCCAGCGGAGAGGGCCAGGCGCATTGGAGGCACAAAGCAGCTAGAGAGAAAATACATCTTCATGCAGCTGAGACACAAAACAGACACGACGGACTTTCAGAAAAGCAGCAGAAGCCAGACTAGAGCAGCTGTCCACAGGAAGACATGCAAGACAAAGAAAGCACACAAACTGCAGCAGAAGAAAAGAAAGGCTTATACTTTTTTTCCCCAAGCAGTCCTGAAAGAGGCAAACCATGGTAAGGGCTTTTTCTCTCTGTTATGGTGTTAAGAGGAGCAGAGGTGTGAGTGACCCCGAGCATGAGTCTGCGAGTCCTGGCACCGTCATTTTACCACCTATCCAGACGCATGGCATTTCAGCACGCCGCTCGGACGGGGCTGGCTGCACTGGAGAGTCTAACTACACCGCCGCGCTGGGTGGCAGCAAGAGAGACAGAGAAATCAGTACGGTTTTCACCCAACACATTCAGTCCTGCCAGGTGTTTGGTGCGCGCTTGTATTTGCCCTTCCTTCATTTTCTTCAGCTAAGCGCAGCTGCTGCATCCGAGCCCCTCACTCAAACAGGGAGCAGCTCTGGAGGAGGAGGCATGTTAGTTCCTTGCTTCCAAACCACGTCAAAACAAGAAGAAACCAAATGCAAGCACACTCTCTCCTCTTTCTGCAGCAGCTCAAGTCCGAGACGTGCCCTGGCACCTCCTCTCAGCCTGTGATAAATGAGATTCTTCCCAACACCCTACGGAAGCTGTGCAGACAAGCTCTCCCTTCTCTCACCCCTGGGAAGAGAGTCCAGTGACTTGTTACTCTCCTCTAGAAAAGCTTGAGACCTTAAATATGACCAAAAAAAAAGTTCAGAGATCTCCTTTTCATCAGGGAATTTGCTATGCAAGACAGGCAGAATTTTTCAGGCTTCTTAGCACATCTGTTTCAAGGGTACATGCAAATAAAAAGATGATCAGGAAAACCGGGTTTGCTTTCTTTGAACCTTCAGGTCAGCTGAAGCTGTTTGGTACCTTCCAAGCCATCCTTCCCACCCCCGCCCGCTGCAATGGCTGCACAACACAGAGCTCACTGTGTTATCTGGAAATTCTCGGGGTAAGGGATCCTGCTGCTCTGGTCCACAGGAGAGCTCCTCTGCCAGGTGAGCCGCGCTCGGCGAGTTCGAGAGCGCCGGCCAGTCTTTCTAGCGCACGCTGCAGCACGAGAAACGCGGAGATCACAAAAGGTTTCCGTCTCCCTCCCCTAACACAGCCTGTGCAGAAGGGCAGCATCTAAACCTGGAATTCATGCAACAAGCTCCCGCTCGCCCGGGGTCTCCATCCTTCCCTTCCATCAATCCTTGCTGGTCCGCCAGCAGCCAGGCAGCCGTGTCCCCTCACCAAGCAATTGTGCATCCTTGCAGAGCGCTGCAGCGGCGTGCTTTGTCTGAAGGCAGCGAGCTCCACGCTTGCCGTTCCACTCGCAGTCCTGTCTCCTGCTCTCGCATTGCCTGTCCCTCCCTTCTCTTCATCCTCTTACCCCTCCCAGCTTTGCCATCCACTGTACAAGCAGCGAGCAGCCTTCGCAGCAGAAGCTGCAGGAGAGGGAAGGGAGACAGCAGCTTTATAACTCTCCAGTGGAAATTACTGACTTCTCAATATTTACTCCATGATGGACTACACGGCTTGGGTTTTCAAAAAAATAATGTTACAGGTCTGCTTTGACAGTTCCGAGTGATTTGTGGCTGGCTCAGAATTGATTTATCTAGAGAGAGGTGAGGAAACTGCTTGCTGCCTACTACAGCATTTCTGGAAGCAGTCGGGGTATTGGCAGGGGGAATGAAACCACAGCAGTTCCTTCCTCTGAGCTCCTGAATTTCGTTTTAAGAAATTGTTTACTCTACTCAGCCTTTTGTACACTCGTAAATGTATTTCTGCTTTTAAAGGGGAAACCTACAGTGACACCAAGTGCAGGTTTTCTGTTTTTAAAACCACTTCAAATCAAGACAAAATGAAGGGGGCGGGGGTATTTGGAGGGAGGGGAATGGAGGGGTTTACTTTAAAAAGAAAAAGAAAAGAACAGATGCCCCAAAACATCCTAGATTGAAAAGACTGAAAATAAGGAAGTCCAAAATACACTAAACATTTGCACGTTACGAGGATGACACGGGAGCAAATGAATCCAGTCACTGTGCCCCCCAGCAAGAGCCCAATCACAACTTCTGATTAAAACAAACTCCTAATTCTCAGCTCCATCCTTCTTATGCTCCACATTTGAAGAATCCTACCTTTAAAAAGTCTGCAGATGGCAGAGGAGGAAAGAGTCAATAGAGTGTAGTTAGAAATAATTAGAGTATTTAAAAGTTGCAAAAAAAGCAAGCCAAGCAATTCGGTCCCTCTCGCAAGCCATTTTTCAGGTAACACAGCATGCTTCAAAGAAAACAGGAAAGGGAGAGGGCTACCAGGGCTCAGAAAGGTCCTTTTGTAAGTTATTGTTTCAATAATGACCTTTAGAGCAAAGTTCGAGTCTGTTTGGAGGAAGAAATAAGTACGTGGGCCATGCCGGACAAAAAGCATCACGCCGTTTGCTCACGGAAACTGATAACAAGTTTACCATGACCTGATGTGGCCTGAAGACACACGACCAAGCTTCACCAGGAAGAAAAAACCGCAAGTCCAAGCAAGCGTCGATGAAACCACCGTCCACACACGAAGTGAGCATGCAAGACAACCAAGTCAGGCAGGAACAACCGCTGGGGATGATCCTCAGCTGACAGTCCTTAAATCCACTGAGGGGGCTATAAACTCAGGCAGTGCATTAGGCAAGATGGATAGGCAAGGAGAACATAGTCATTAATGCCATCAGATGCAAGAAATACAGCCAACACCCGACTTTACTGGAACTAAGATCAATTAGCCAAATGCAGATTGCTAACAAATTTCTCCCTCTTCTGTCAAGTAAAACACCAAGCACATTCCTCACGTCTCAAGCCAACGGCAGAGTTAACTCACCAAGCCCCAAACGCGTTCCCTGTCCAGCGCAGCATGCCTCCTGCCTGCATCAAGCTGATTTATTGAGCAGAGACCACTCATCTCCCCTATTTTTGGGGAGAGAAACGCTGCCTGACAAATCACCGTAACCCAGCGAGCAACACACAGGTTTCTTGTTCAAAGCCAGCAGTGAGGTGAGACGCTGCAGTGCAGTGGGGTTGAGTTTCTGCTGCGAGACCTGTACTCCCCTACCCCTCTGACCCACATCTGGAAGGAAGAGATGATCAAAAGCGGGTTGCTGGAGCTAAATAAATGCGTGACTGCAAAACACACGTGCAGAGAGACACAGACTGAATACAAACATCTGCTCCCAGGCCAAAACACCCTTTAAGGCAAAGGTTCAGTGGAATCCGGTACCCTTTAAGAGACGGTGTTCCTTGATTCCCCAACCTCCAACATGGATCAGTGACACACTTCTCTTTTCCTCCCACCTACACCACCCCACCCTCGGGAAATACATTTGGAAGATCTTCTTACACGCTCTACCAGGAAATCAGAGGGTCGAACCTGTTGGCCAAGAAATAGATTCTAGCTCCAATTTCTATAAAGATGCCAAGATGCTTCTAATTATCTTATCATCTAGGGGCCTCAGAAGTTTAATGTGCTTGTCCATAACACCACGGCAAGGCAGGGAAGTTTTGTTCCCCTGTTTTATGGAAGAAAGCTTGATGGTACAGAAACCAGCTATTACACCCAAATTTGTATGGGAAGTCTGGGGCGTGGCAGGGACCTGAAACCAAGCGTCTCGGGGCCCGGGCTTGTTCCAGCCTGACTCCAAGGGTCCCTGCTTTCCCTAGACCCAAGGCAGTTGTATGCAATAACTGCTCGTATGTTTGGAGTCTGTTTATACTTATCTCCGCAGTAATTGCCAAGCAAGGCATTTTACCTTTCCAGGCAAATCAGTGATTCCAGAAACAAAACTAGTCAGGAGCCCCAATATCCTCAAAGCCCACCCGTTTTTGAGGATGTGAGAGCATTTGGAAAGTTCCCTGCAGCTCCCTGCGCATTTGTGATATGATCTGAAGCGTTAATACAGCCCTAGCAAAGTCCTGAGGAGCAAAAGCTAAACTCTGCTAGAAAACAAAAGTGTAAGGGTGCACGCACCCCAGGACACCCTTCGTCCTTGCAGTAAGGGGCTGGCAAAGCACTGCCCGCTCTCTGGCTAGCTGCGCTCATAAGAAAGGAAGGAGAAACAGGGAACGTATACGGCAGCTGACCTGCGTACGAGGGATCCCAAACTGAGCGTAACACAGCACAGCCTGCGGGAAAACACCCGGCTTAAGGACAAGGCAGCTCCTGGGTCCGCCTGCTTCCAGAGACGGGTGTCCATTTTGCTGAAAACTCCCTGCACAACGGCAGCTTTTGCTGAAGTGCTGGCTCCTCCTCTCCCCTCCATGTTAGACCTCTTCACTAACGGTATCGATCCATCACACGCACTGCTACAGCTACGGACACGGCTTGGGGAGGGGAGGGCTTGTCACAAAGCAGGATGCTAACCAGTTGCCATTGCATTAGACCAAAAACCACACACCCGTTTCGCATCCCACTGCAAAGGCTTTTGACCCTAGAAAACATAAGCCCTAACCAGTACGTAGTATCTAGGGCAGGCACAGGTTAAACTCCCACTGGGAATGCACGGTGGATTCCTCCTCACCAAAGCAAAAATCCGAGTGACAAATGGATACGAGATAAGCTTTATTATGGCAAGCGTGAGCTGCGTGTGCGGATCCATATTAGCATCTCATCAAGAAGAGACGCTGCCCACCCGGAGCAGTTCAGATGCAGCAGTTTGGAGGTGAAGGATTTAAAAGGACAGAATCCCTCGCGGTGGCAGCTCTCCAGCATCCTCCATCACGCTGCAGTAAAGGCAAACAAGCTCTCGAGTTCTGCTTTTGTTTTTGCTCCTGATTTAAAGGCAGAGAAGGGAATTCATGCTTAAAATACAGAGGGGAAGCACCTCTCCTGCAAGCAGCCTTGTTTAGTGGATATTGATACCTACAGGGATACCCAGAAAAAGCCTAGCATCACCCAAGTTGAGGCACGTGGCAGATTAACCACATCCAAAGGGCAGGCCACCACGGCACCCGTGCTGACCTGCAACTGGCATCACCCCAGTCCTGCTCCCAGCACAGCCGCTGCCCTGACAGAAGTGGCCGGGGAGGACGATCCTCTCCCCCTCTGAAATCCAAGAGGCATCTGGAGAAGGCCATGTCCCCGAACAAGCAGGACTGTTCCCGGCTATTGGGACGGTGGCTCTTGGTCAGCCGGGAAGTATCCCAGAGGACAGCGCTGCCACAGCTGAACTGGTCTCACCATTAGAAAGCATTTCCTACAACAACAATTTCGAGATGTAGATTTTCTAAAACCCTTGAGCAGTACATGATATTTAGGCACCTTTGGTCCCCAGACAGCAGAGTTCATCGGCATCCATTTAATCAAGCTCTGTACACTGTGTCTCACTACAAACAGCTCCGTTTCAAAAGGCACCGTTAAAGCCAAGCAATTATCTCCTCCTTTGAAGACCACAGACTCTGCTCCATATGGGAGACAACGCTCCCGAGGACCCACGGCTCTGCCTGCAGCAGCAGAGAGGACAGGTTCCTTAAACTGCTGGTTTCCAGGGTGAAGCTGCATCCCGGGAGGAGAAGAATTAAAATAAACCTCCCGAGAAGCTCGGAAATGTAGAAGCATTGAGACAGTCAGCTGGGAAAGGGCTAGGTTATTTCCCCACTCTGCAAACAGTATGGAGACACGTCGAGGGATATTTGCACTGATATCAAAGCATCCTTCCTCTATTAGTTCCACCTCCCCTTTACTTCTACTTTCCTCAAAAGAAAGAACGAAAAGTATAGGAAAGAAGCTGGCAAAATTGCAAAGTGATCCTGTTTGATGTGCAGAGCCAAGGCATGCAGTTAGGTCACTGCAGGAGCAACGGAGGAAGATTTTTAACTGAGACTTGGTTCCGACTCTGCTGCTTCAGTCCGGATCCTGACCACAACCTCGGCACAGGGCTCGCTATCCCCCACCCCAGCCGCCTCTACTTACAACGTTTATGGAAATGAGAGTGTTTTAACCCAGGATCGTCTCCCCTCGCTCTAACGCTGCAATGCGGATATGAGAGTTACAATAGTTGCAAACATGGCTGGAGGAGGACCTTGCTCTGCTTGAGGAAAATCAATGCACTAAATGACACCACGATTCCTTCTTCACCTTGTTTTATGGAAATTGGAAAAAGCAAAGACAAAATGCACAACTAAAATAATCTCACGCTATTTATAAAGTTTTATAATAAAATTAATAAAACTACATACTTCAAGGTCACAGAAGTATGTAGGTGAAATATATAGAAAAAAGACACTGTGCTGAGTTTTATCTGATTTGAAGCAACAATAGGGCATCTAGAGTTTTACAGGTGGAAAGTTGGAGAAGAAATGTTAAAATATTCTGGCAAAAACATTTTATGGGCTGCAGAAAAACAGTAATTTTGCTGGAAAAGTCAACGCAACACCCCAGCTACTCCGGACAGTTTGTTTTAGAGGCTGGGTGGCAGAAGCAGCTCTTTACACCTTATTCTATCGCAACCAAGCTAAAACCTGGCTCTTGGTAAGCTCCAGTTAAGACAAACTGCCTGAGCAGGACCCTTCGCCCCACACAGGCTTTGCTCAAGCGTTCCTGTTCCCCGGGAAACATTCCTTAATCTGTGAAATACGAACAGCCTCTAAAGGACACCTTCTCACACAACCCAATGTACGCTGAACCCCACCGGCGGCCAGACAGCCCCCCCGAGCCCACGCTTCCCCATCAGCCGCTGTCTTACCCAGAGGAAAACCGTCCCAACCGTGCCCGCAGAGCAGCTTTATTTCCAAACATGCCCAGCAGTGAACATGCAGCCGGGATGGGTGAACTGCCATGGAGGTAACGGGGATATTTGATATCTTGGCTATAGTCACTCTGATGTACCACTCCAAATACAAAATTCCCACCCTATCCTCCCAGGGCTGAAAGGATTTTGTGAGCCTTAAAGAACAAAATACTAGAATGTGGAGGGCTACAGAGAGGTTCTGCTCATTTCCGAGGGGACAGACCCACACTTAAATAAGGGAAAAAAAGCCAGAAAAAAGAGCATCTCGCTACCGCATTACGTATTTGAAGCAAAAGCAAGAGTGTTGTGGGGATTGTGAGACCAGCCAGAAGACAAATATGCAGCGGCTCTGTTTCAGATGGACTGCTTAAAGAACATTTTGTTGCCATCCACCAGAGAAGAACAGAAACTCGAGACAAACATTCTGAAAGGCAGGAGAGAACTGTAAGCAATCAGTTCGACTTTCTCAGAGGCTACGTCGAGAACAGCAGTAATTGTAGGAGCCAGGAGATCAGTAGAACTTTCTATCCCTAGGATACCGGCTGGAGTCCCTACACCATCTTTCAACTGCAAATTAGATTTTTTTTGTACGTGCAGAAAACCTGATCTTCTTCCTACACATTGAGCGAAGTTGTGAAGTTTTAAGTACCAGGACACAGTGGTTATTGGGCTGGGCAAGCAGGGGCAACGAGCCAGCCACTCTGGAGCTGATTTTACTGCCGCAAGCTTGCAGAGGAGCACAAGAAGTGTCCCAGACCACTCACACAAGCCAGCAACATTCACCTCCACCTAAAGGGAAGGACTATAAGGAGTCCAGGTATCGGAAGAACTCCACAATTCTCAGCAATAAGCCTTTGTTTAACGCTATTCAAAGATGTAAAACATCACCGCAAAATTTACCATATCCTAAACAGTAATACTAAGCCCCAAAAATCTATAAGCAGGCAGTTTCAACAAGAAACAAGATCCCCTACGCACACAGGCTGCTGTCACTGGGTGAGTATTAATCAACACTGGTAATCAGGGTCCCCCCCCTTTCCCATCAGGCTGGGGGTACCAGCTGCGATGCTCTTCACCCAGCCCATTTCCCTCAAAAGCCTGCTGGGAGGGAAGGACAGCTGCATTATATAAAGTTAAATGAATCTACCTAGGGGAGTATTGAATCAAAATTGCTGGTAGCAGTATTGAGCGTTACACTGGGAAGCCGAGGTCTGCTCCTTCTGTGCCAGAGCCTTTCTTTCCCTTCTGAGAGCCAAAGCAGGTTAAAGAGCTCTGCACACAGGAGCCAGCACCCTGTTTTTGTACAGAGCACAACCAAGACAGACACACACGAGCTGGGTACGCTACCTGAGATCCTCTGCTGCTCCTGAGAAAAGTCAATGCCTTCGCCGATGGAACTCATGATTTTCTCAATCTGAAAATAAAAAAAAGCACACGCTGCATTATTCATAAAGCCTCAGGAAAAGTTAAAGGCAGCCCCGGGATTTCACCTGCCACATGACTGCCGAAGAAATCCAAGGAAAGGATGTTAAGATACCTCTGACCCAGAAAAGGTACCCTTAACACCTTGCCTGGAAAAGTCTTCGTAAGGATGGATGACTCAGGAGGGATGCGTACAGGTTGGGACTCCACAGAGCCTTCCCTTCCACAACTTGCCAGTGCCTGAAAATAAACAGCTCCAACAAAACCATCCCTCTGGAGCATAAAATTAGGGAGAAGGAAAAGAACCCCAAACTCCTCAGCTCACCCGCTACGAACATGCAGCCCCACCTTCACCAGCAGCAAAGCCTAAGAAATGCAGTTCACTAACTCTTTCACAGCATGCAGAAAATAAACTTGGCTTCACCTCAGTCTGGGTTTTGTTGGGTATTTTTGTATTGGTTTGGTTTTTTCTTTTTTTTTTTAAACCATCGCATTTCCCAATCCTGTGCATGGACGCTGTGCTCCTCACCCCTTCCACTGCGAGCAGAGATGCTTAGAAAGAGTTTGAAAATAGATCGAGTTTGCAAAAGCAGCAACATCATGGGGGCAAATGCCTTCACTACCCAGGAGAGGGAGCTAAAGACAATTTCATCCCCTGATTTAAGCGATTCACAGTCAATAGCTCAAGGCAAACCCCATGCAATTAAGAAAAAAGGTAAAAACTACTGCCTGAGATGGTGTCTTTTCAAGTCCGCTTAAGAGTTGCATATAAATGACTGCATTTGCCACAAAAAAAAAAAGCAAGTTGCAATTTTCATACAACCTACAGGATACTTTCTCAAATGAGAATAGAAACTTTTCAACAAAAATTCTTCAGCAGAATTTGTAAATCGAGGCTTTCTAATGCAATGCTGCGAGGGAAAACCAACAGTGACAATTACTAGGTTAATTCTGTTAAGATGAAAGACCTGATAAATTGCGCTCAGTTAGTCAATTCATAATTTTCAATAATCTAAAGCACTAAAGCCCACCATTTTCCAAAGAGCAATGAAACACTGAAGAGGCTCAGGTTTGATTGCTTACCCCAGTCTTCAATCTAGAACTGAGCAGAAAATTAAAAAAAAAATTAAATAAAGAGCCCCCAGTGAGAGATTCCTGAACAGAAATCTCCCAAGAAGATATTCCTGCGAGACACTTCAGAGCGGTTGCTGCTGAAGGCAAAGCCGATACATCGACTGGCAACAGATAGCGGGGGGGAGTAAACTTCAACTCTTACACAACTTTTTCTTTTCTTTTTTTTTTTTCCTGGTCTTTTAAGGATAGATTTGGGGAAGGAGTCCAAGTTTTCCTGGACCTCATCCCCCAGCCGCCTTTGCACTGCCTGCATCCCAGCGCGATGCTTTGCTTGGTGCAGCTGCACGAGCTCCCAAGGTTGCCTGGCCGGCAAGCGGGACTCCTGGAAACGCTGCGGGGAGCCTGGAGTTTGACTTCCAATCAAAATCAACGGCAGCTTGAAGCTGAACTCCACTAGGGAGGGTTTTTTTTTTGGTGAAACAAAAAAACCAGACAGTCTTAAAAGGCTCCTGCCAAGTCAGATCTCCAATAAAGTCCTTCCTGTTTATGGGGAGCAGACAGGCAGTGCGCTTGTAGCATTAAAATCTCACCAGGGAGAAGGCATTCATGCGATCTATAGAAGAGTCATTAAAGGATATGGATCCTCTGCCCCTAGAAAACCATGAGGACGAGCACTTCTCCTGGGCTTGAAATACAGTTAATGCTAGTTTACTGGGAGCTTTGAAGACCAGCCTGAAAAAGCAATAATCAGAATTCAAACATGTATGGAAGAAAAGTGAAGTACGTTCTCAAAAGAGGTTTCAGCTAAAGGAAGGGTTTTGAAGTCGCTGGATGCATGGGTCCTGCCACCGGCACGCTGCCCTGCGGCACATAAGGCAAAAGTGTTCATCGCTCTTCTGCCCCTGGACACAACCAGAACTCGAATGTGACCTTTGCTAAAAGAGCTGGGAAATACCTGACCCCAGCGCCGGGCTCTCCATCGGGCTGCCGGGGCCGTGCAGGTCTCGGACAAAGCCAGGCGCCATCAGACGCTGACACAAGGGTTAACGGAGTCGCTAACAGGGTGGCAGGATGAGTGATCAGATCCCTGGTTTCACAGGAGGGTAAAAAATGACAAAGGAGAATTGATACGATAGCCTGGGACATGAAAGCTTTTACTTACAGAAGACAAGTCATTCAGAACTTTAATCAAAAACTGCAAGCTATCTGTACAAGAAATGGGATTTTGTGTTTTAAGCTCAAGTTTAAAAGGAGGCACTAAAAAAGGATGAGGCCACGTAAGAGGCAAAAACATCCCGATTGCAAGTGGACAGAGGCAGCCCTTAAATGACAAAAATGAAACAGAGACAGGGTGGTTCATTTTGCAACTGCTCACATCACTAGCCATTGCTTCAGATAAAAATTACGCAGCTAGTCATCGTGTCATCTGATCTTGCTATTTAGACTCAGTGTGGCTGAATAAGGAAGCCCCAGAAATACAGCTTTGAGAACTGCAAGAAAAAGTTGGGGTTTTTTTTGTCAGCTAGCCTAAGGCTCTTGTGTAAATCAGCAACTCTGCAGTATCAGCAACAGAAGAGTGGGATCAGCTAAACTGGAACCAGTTAAGAGGAAAAAACTGAATTTAAAGTCTGCCTTGTGATGCTGAGTTTTTATTCTACCCTAATCACGCCTTTTAACTGTTTCCCTCCGTTGGAGGCATTTGTGGCAGTCACCTTCACTCCATCAGTCCCGCTCCTCTCCACGGGCTCGGTTTTAAAGAACTTTTCCATTTCTCATTAGTTGTGACGGAGCCTGAAGGACGCGTGAGCGATGCAGCAGCTTCTGCTCAAGCCTGTAGACAACGTGAAATAACTGAGGAGTATTAATTGCCTCATATTTCTCAGCAGAGGTTACTGACTGGAATGCAGAGGTAACCTACGTCTCACGATGCACATTTTTGCCAGTCACCATTTTGGCAAGAACCACCTGCTTTATCTGCTTTTGCCCCTCCGAAGCAGCAAAAAACTCCCCAGCAAAGCCTTGAAATTTCACGGTGCCCTTATGTACCATCAGTACATAAAGGCCATGCAAGACTGGAGGGAAATACAGGGACGGTGCAAAACAAGCCTCATTTCCAAATAAGACCAAGGACTTTGGTACTGACTGTTTTGTTCACTTCCATAGGCAGGCACCGAACCCGAGCTGCGGCAGGGTTTCTGGGATAACTGCCACAACCCTGAGGGCTCGCTGCAGAATTTGGGTCTCGAGGTCAATTCAGTTCAAGCTCCAGAAGTTTAAGGGCATTAAGCTTTGAAGATTTATGTCAATTATCTTCATTACAAGGTATATTTCTAAGCTGGAGCCACTCTTGTACCTACTGTCTGGGATCTTTATCTAAAAAGACATTTACTTCAGCGCATCTGGAAGCCTGTGAGGTTCTTCAGTCTCATGGGATCATTTGGAGCAAGAATCACTTGGTTCCAGCCAAGCTTTTCCTATAACCAGTCACCAAGAGGGGGGAAAAAAAAAACCATAGGTGGGGAAGGAAGAGAGGAGGCGAGGAGAAAAGCGTGTTTGTTCAAGCAGCCCCAGCTCCCTCCGACTGTCTCCCAGCAACAGAGGCAAAGCGCTTTGCAGATCTCTTACGCTGTGCCGGGACCCAGCTCTGAAGACGTGCGGGGACTGCTGCCGGTGCTGCTGGGAAAGGCAAAGAGCACAAGAGCATGTTTCCGTGGCAGATTCAAACCCCACATTTGCAGCCCCTCTTTGGTCAGAGCTACGACTCTGAATGTTATTTGGCAAGAGCCAGGTAAGCTCCCTCCCATCAGATGCTCATCACAAAAAAAAAAATCCCATTTATTTCCTAGCATTTTTGCACTGGTAGAGCCAGCATTTCGCCCTCCCCCACCGCATTCCATGCTTGGATGCCCTCTTCCACCCTTACCCACTTGCAGTTTTGCTCTTTCATAATGCAGGACGAAGGATAAGAGAAAGTTTTAACTTGATTTTAAGAAAGGTCGGCTCCTCTGCTGTGTTTCTCACCGGGAAGAACCAATGCCTACTGCAGTACTATGGCCCTGGAGAGGACGGTGCACAATAGAAGGACTTTCCCCATCTTTTCACTTCCTTTAAATGTAGGTAAGTTTTCTAAAAACAACTTCTCCCCCATGCATGGAGGTAACAGGTGCCCAAAAGCTGCAGACAAGAGGACAACGGGAATCCAGATCACAACCCGCTCTGCTCTCAACAGACTGGATGAGTTCCCCTGCCCAGGGCAGGTCGCCACAGTCTGACACCATGAAAAATTTGCTTCCTTCCCTGCATCCCTTTTCCATAGCTGGATTCAAACTGCAAATTAACTCCGGGTGCCAAGCCAAGTTCACTTGTTTCCATCGCACTGCCCTCCCCTAATACGAGAGGGACTTGATGCTTTTCAGGTTCAGTCCCCAGCACTGACAGTTCTGCAGTCAAAACACAGCCGTGAGGGCTTGCAGGTGCTTCTTCAGCACTGAAACACCCACGAACTTTTCCTCAAAAGCAGAGAATTGCCCTGTGCTATATAACACTGAATGGTAGTGAAATAATCACACGGCAAAGGATTACCTTTCACAACCCATCCTTTGCTAAACGTCAGTTTGATCTGGAGGTGGTCCCCGTTATGCACGGTCAAAACTGTATCACAATTAACGCAAAGGGAAATCCTGCTTCATGCCCTCGGCTCTCCGCAAAAAGAAAACACTCTCCCAAGTCACACACCAACTCAAACACCGGTTTATTGCTGATCATCTCGATTTAACTACTAAGAGGTTGCAAAGATAAGAATACAGGAGAAGGACACAAACCTAAAGAGGGAATGAACGCTTTAAAGCATCCCTGTCCTCCACAACCAGTCCTCAGCTGCACTCTACGGCACTAAGATGGGGCTGGAAGAGAAGATAC